CAGATGACAGAACAAGGAGCAATAGTCTCAAGTTGCAGTGGGGGAGGTCCAGGTTGGATATTAGGAAACACTATTTCACTAGGAGGGTGGTGAAGCACTGGAATGCGTTACCTAGGGAGGTGGTGGAGTCTCCTTCCTTGGAGGTTTTAAGGCCCGGCTTGACAAAGCCCTGGCTGGGATGATTTAGTTGGGAGTTGGTCTTGCTTTGAGCAGGGGGTTGGACTAAATGACCTCTTGAGCTCCCTTCCAACCCTGATATTCTATGATTCTATGCGTGCTGATGCTGGCACACACATGTAGCTGCAAGCAATCAATCCCCTAGCCCCTGTGTTTTACAGTCAGTCTCAGGGAAACCTCTTAGCCCCACATAGAATCACAGAAGTGTAGGGCTGGGAGGAACCTTGAAAGGTCACCAAGTCCACCCCCGGCACTGAGGCAGGACCCAGACACCTACATCATCCATGACAGGTGTTTGTCCAGCCTGTTTTTAAAAACTTCCACTGATGGGGATTCCACAGCCTCCCTTGGAAGCCTGTTTCAGAGCTACCTTTATGTCTAACTTCCCCTAGCCTTGTTCTCAGAAACAGCTGGACCATTTTGGCTGAAACTTTCCAAGAAAATTCAGCCAGAGGCAGACACCGGTCATGGAAAATGTCAGTCTAACTAGCTAAAGTTTGGCTGAAAACAGGGCCCTATAATGGGATGTCTTGGGCAACCATAATAATAGGTGGTGCTACCAGCCCCTTCACCTAAGGCTGGAATATGAAGCCACCACTAGGGCAGAACGAGGCAGCTCCTTAACTGGGCACAGCAACACAGCCCAGGTTTAGGACAGGACTTGATGATGTCTCCCCTGTCCAGCTGAAACTACCAGAGAGGAGGTGTTTCAGGAGGTGGAATGTCATTGCTGAGTCGGACGCCTTGGCTAACACCAGTGAGGTCCCTCTGGGGCCCGGTCATTGGCCTCCAGCAGCCAGTGTGACAAGACTAAATAGTGTGTGGCTGAGACAGTCCAAACTACCCCACAAAGGGGGCATCCCATTGTGCTGGGCTTAGAGTGACCCTGGGACAGGCCGAGCCGCAGACTCTGTCCCTAAATGAATTGGATCCATCTGATCCTGCGCTGCCCCCGCTGCTGGGCTAAAAATACTGATGGAAATCAACCACCCACCTTCTCAGCATGTTCTCTCGGTGGCCTTTGCAGTGGTCAGGCTCAGCTGGGCGGATCCTAGGCCATGGGGTTCTGCTCCCTGGGGATGAGGGGCACAGGCAGTGTGGTTGGAGGAGTTTGCACCTTTCCAAGCGCATGAGCTGAGGGGGGTGCTGCAGCTCCCCACTCCCACAGCCATTGGGGGCTCCAGGTTTCTTAGTGAGCTTCCCGTCCTGCCTGCCCTCGCCCACTGTCCCACCAGAGTCCTGATCCCCCATCCCAGCTCCCAATTGCCCTGCTGGTAACTGGGACACACGCTGCCTTTCTCCATAACAGCTGGTGGGACTCTGCCTGTGGCCAGGGCGTTCTCTGTTAGTAGAGCCACTAGCTCTGCTGCCCTCCACATCCCAGCAGTGGGACTTGCAAGGGGCTGCCAGTCTGCTGGGGCCTCCTCTATTGCAGCTGGCTCCCCTCTCCCCGGGGGTGGCGGGGTGTGTCTCAGCCACGCAGACTCAGCGGCCAGCTGTGCATCGGGCCTGGTTGGAAGGTTTTATTCACAGTAATGGGGTAAAACGTTTAATTCTTAAAAAGGCCCATTTATGTTCTGTGGACATTGGTAGGGACCCTATGGGAGCCCTGGGCGACTGGCACCAGCCCAGTCCAACCCCAGCCTTTGGGGAGGGTGGGCAGCTGCCTGCCCAGAGCTGGTCACCTGAGCAGGAATCGCTTTGCTCCTGGACTGACCATTCGATCCAATCTGGGGATATGATTATTAATCAACAGAAAAACCTGGGTGTTTCCCGCAGGAAGGACGTTGATTGGCTGCTGCCAGGTCTCCACTAGGGGTAATATAACTCCGGCTGGTGTTTGAGGTGTGCCATACTCTGCACACTGCCCGGGCTCTCACTCGCTCAGCACACCGTGCCACTTCCGCCTCCGCTTGAAGGAGAGAAAACGAAGGATGAACAAGATGCTGGTTCCTGTTTTCACAGCCCTGCTGTACTTCGCAACGGGTAAGTCCCCAAACGAAACTGACCAATTCGTCCCCAAAGGGGCCAGATTCTCGGCTTCATCGGGGAGCTGGCCCATCGACGTCAGTGGAGCTAGCTAGGATGATGTACAGCAGCAAAGGAGCTGGCCTTTGTTGGTTAGGGAGGGGATTCACC